CAATTTGCAAATTCTTTATCACCCTTTATTCGTCATATATGTTGTGAATACTTTCACCTAGTTTATCATTTGCCCTTTCACTTTGCCTTTTTTTTCCATGCAAATTGTTTTTATTTTTAAGTAGTCAGATTTATCCATTGTATGTATATAATTATAGTATAGTATATATTATGGCACATGTCTTTATGTATATATTCTATAGTATATGTGTGTATATATATAACTATATAGTTATAATATCTATACACTATAACAATAGTGTATATATGTACATAAATATAGTATAGCTATATATAAATAGATAGATATAGATATGCACACACATGTATATATGGTGCTAGGGAAATATCCCATTTTCTCAAGAGTTTTATTAGAAATGGGTGTTGAATTTTGCCAATGGCTTTTAAAGCATTTATGGCGATTAATCCTATACTTTTCCTCCTAAACTCTATTTATATGGTGAATTAATTTAAGAGATTTTTCTATTAGTAAGCCCTCCTTGCATTCCTGGTATAATCCTTAGGTAAGGTTTCAAGTTCCATCACTGTCTTAGATGTCAAGGTCTCTACTGAAGTGCCTTTGCTCTATTGACGCCCTCTCTCTGAAGCCTTTTAAAAATATTTCTCACACTCTGTCCCCGAAATGATACCCTCTTCTTTATTCTTTTCACTTCTTTGTACATACTTTTATTTTCAGATGTATCACTCTGTACTGTATTTATTTGTTTAGAATCTGTTTCTCCCATTAAACTCTATACTCACTGAAGGCATGGAGTGATTCTAAGAACTTTTTTATATCAGTTTCTTGAGTGTGAACTCTACAGACCCTAAACTGGCCATTCAAAAGAGGTACTCAGGGGACTTCCCTGGTGGTACAGTGGTTAAGAATCTGCCTGCCAGTACAGGAGATACGGGTTCGATCCCTGTTCTGGGAAGATCCCACATGCCGCAGAGCACTAAGCCCATGCACCACAACTACTGAAGCCCGCGCGCCTAGAGCTGGTGCTCCGCAACAAGAGAAGCCACGGCAATCAGAAGCCCACGCACAGCAACAAAGAGTAGCCCCTGCTCGCCACAACTGGAGAAAGCCCACGCGCCGCAACGAAGACCAAATGCAGCCCCCCCCCAAAAAAAAGAGGTACTCAGGAGCAGTGTTTGTCACTTTTCCATTAACTAGCAGCAGAAATTAAAATAAATTCCTATTTATAATTATGTCAGGTTCAGATCTACTAGGCATTAAAGCATGTCCATTTGAATCAGGGCAACGGCTTTATGTACAAGAAAAATCCAATGCAACCCAATTACTTATGAGAGTGGAATTATGCTGATCCCAAACCAGTGGTACAAAAACGGTTCTACCACAGATAAAATTCTCAAATCCTCACTTCTCTTCCCATTCAGCATTACCGTGTATTTATGTCTTCACAAGAGAAAGTGCAGAATAGAGAGGTTAACATTTTTTTAAAATAGATTTTATTTTTTAAGATAACTTTTAGGTTCACAGCAAAATTGAGTGGAAAATACAGAATTCCGATATTCCCCCTGCCCCACCCCACAGTCTCCCTCACTATCAACATCCTGTGCCAGAGCAGTATGTTTGTTACAATCAAGGAACCTACAGAGACATATTATTATTACCCGAAGTCCAAACTTTACATTAAGTTTCACCCTTGATGTACCTTTCATGGGTTTTGACAAATGTATAATGGCACGAATCTGCCATTATGGTATAATCAGTACAGTTTCACATGTCTAAGAAATGTTAACTCTCTACGTGGTTCTCAGGTCCACCATCAAATTTCTCTTCACAATTCATGTAACTGTTTTTCCGTCCACTCCACCCAGCCGTCCCTGCACCTCTGAGTATCTTCTAGCAATAGCTGAATGGCTTTAACACTGTGATCAGTTTAGTTTGGTGGTATGACTTTTTTGGACGGTAAATGGGGAGTCGTCTGACAGAACTCAGGGCAAATGCAGGCACATTCCTGCCATTTACCAAGGGTAGCTCGATGCGGCCCCCTCCATGTTCTCTTCTTTATGTTGTGATCTTGGGTTCGTTACTCTTCCCCCTTGTTTTCCTCAGTATCCTTCCTTATAATCACAATCTCACAGAGCCTTTGAGCTAACATGAGGGATCTGAGTGAGCAAACCAGATAAAGAATGTAACCGAGGTTAGGAGGGTACAAAGATGTCGGTTGGGGAGAAAAATTTAGATTCTATTGTTCTCATTCCTTTGTTAATTTGCACCCAGCTAATGTCTAGACCCATCATAGAAGCACTAGACAGGGTTTAAGGGTAACTTCAAAAGTGTTCCTTGGTCCCGACCTTGCCTAAGTTCATATTTGCTTGCTCTCTGGTTACATCTTCCTGGCTGGAGCCTGCAGTCTTGCTAGTAGTCACAGAATCCAGGAAAAAAAAACCCTTTGCCAGAGCTGAGAAATAAAATGTTCTGTTCCCACCACTTCACCATGTGTTTCTGGCTGGAACTTCAGCTCACTTCTGCCAGTTAATGTCTTTTTCTCTCAAGAGGGTAACTTTCACTCACCATTTCAGCTGTCTCTGCTGGACACTCAAGCTTCAGCTGGTTGACATAGCCATGACTGCTGTTGTCAAAAACTCAGGCTATGTCCGTCATCCCTCAAAGAACAAAGTTTCTGTGTTTCTGCAGATTCAACCTTCAAGTTCAAGTCAAAGCCATTCTCCTAAATCAGGGTGCCAAGGGGGCTGCCTTTGAAAACCTCTCCCCTTCCTCAGAGCCTCTGAGACAATGTTCTTTCCACTATCTCTGGCCTTGGTTAGTTTCTTTAAACTTTCTTTCCAGCTTTTGATCTTGATTAGTTTCTTTTCTCTTTTCATTTCCTAGTCTTTGTTGTTTTTTTTTTTTTTTTTGCATACTTTCCTGGCCCTCCCACCCCAAGGGCCAATTATTTCTGCTTTTCTTTGTTTTCTGTCAACAATTTTTGGAATATATTACCTGGGCATTTAAAAAAAATCAATATTTACTTAAGTGCACACAAAACAGCTCTTGTATATAGTAAAAGGAGATACCAAAGCAGTTAAATATCATGATATAGTGGAGACTGATCACACTCTGGACTGGAAATCAGAGAGCTGGGTCATCATTTTGACCCTATCACTTCTAATTATGTAACCTTGGAAAGTCAATCTCACAGAGTCTCTAGCTCTTTATTTGTAATATGACCTCTAATGTCCATCGTAATCAAATATTTTATGATTTTAAAGACTTACACTGCAAGGTTAATTTGGTCAAGCTGACCGTACGTTCATCAGTTGAAACAAAACTTAAGCTTAATCAAGGGAAAGACTATTTTGATTGAATTAAGTTTGATTTTCTCTCTCACCCTAGGCACTTGCATAAGACCTAAATATGCCTACCTCTAGACTTATGCATATAGGTTAACTTTTGCTACAACAATGCTGTGTAACTGTCACACCATTTCATAATGCACATTTGGTTAGGCTGGAGGTTGGTTGGTCTCAATTGGGCCTGGCTTGGGTGGTTCTGCTCTAATCCATGAGTCTCTCATCCTCTTCTTGGAGCCAGCAGTCTAGCCTAAAATGTTCTTCTTATGGTAACGGCAGAGAACAAGAGAGTGAGTCCAACCATACAAAGACTTTCAAGTCTTGGATTAGTCAGGTCCATGGTATTTCATTGTCCAAAGCAAATCATATGGCCAAGCCCAAAGTCAAGGGGTGCTCATGATGCAGGTGGGCAAAGAAGTGAATATTTCTGAACAACAATGTTATATAACACACTGTGCTTTGGAAATGAGTGATGGAAATGCTTATATATGGCTTCTTCTCAGTGAAAATGAAGCCTATGATGAAGACATGCAGAAACCTTAGGGATTAGAGTCCAGAGCTGCTGGTTTGAGACAGGCTCTATGAACTTACTTGCACACAATTTTAAGGTGCAGGTGAAAGTGTCATTTTAGTCAAATGAGAGAGGTTAAGATCATAACACTGCCTGAAAATCATCTAGAGTCCTTCTATTTTGCAGAAAATTCCTCTGAATCATGGAACGAGTATCCATCCATGAATGAGCAACTGTTCACTCTATTCAAGTTGGAGATGAATTTGCAAATGTTGACCAGAACTTACTTATAAAACCAGAAGAGGCCACTTCAAAGAGATGGCTAAGACTAAAACATCATGAGACACTTGCCATATGATAGATTGAACAATTACATGACGTATGTCGTACTGTACAACTGTCTATCCCTTTACCGAAACAATCTAGCATCCTCCAACTCAGCCACTTTTTACCCAATACTTCTACACATATTTATGTCTTCTAATGGGACAGTAAAACAAAACCAAATGGTTATCCTTTTGTTCATCCCATGTGCAGGAGCCCGGGCTGAGCATGATGGGAGGAAGAGTGAAGAAAGACTGGAACTGGGGTTCTTATGCAAGGTATTCTGTTTTCCTCCAGTGAAAATAAACAACTGAATTTCAGTACAAAGACTAATTGCACTTTCCCATTATTTGGAACTCTCGCTAGAACTTTCACATTTTCTTCTTCTTGTAATTTTCCTAGGGAATGCAACAAACCTCAGAGATTATCATAATTTTGGCAAATAGCTTAGAATGTTAGCAGATGCCCCAAAGAGAAGAGGATCATGTATGGACATAAGCTTGAAACCCTTGTCATCCCCTCAAAGAATTAAAGTGAAACATAAAAACACTGCAAGTATTTTTTAATGACAGCAGCCTAATTTGCACTTCTTACATAAGCAAGAAAATCCCTGCAGATAGCATTAGGTGTGAGCTTCACATAGCCTCTCACTCTTGTTTAAATTTCCAGCATGTGCAGATGAAAGAGGGTGAGTTGCTGGGAAAACAGGTCATTCAATTCTGACATCCATTTCAACTGCAGCAGAGACTTGGCTAGAGGGTGATTATATTAATAAAGCACCATATCTATCTTTTCGATAGGATTCTAGCAGAGTTTTGCTTGTGTGGCAAAGTCTCAGAGGACTAGAGTGTCTCCAGCTCATGACAAGGCAGATCAACTCCAATGGACTCTTGAATGTAGGTGTACTTGATGGGAGGTGAGGCGGCTTGAAAGGCGGAGGTCTTTCCATGCTCGGAACAAAACATGGCTCCTTCAACGCTGAGAATGTCAGGGGGTGATGTATGTATAATATATTTTTTAAAGTAGAAAACAGAGAAAGTGAAAGAGACATGCTTCCCTGGTTCTCTCAGATATTTTTCCTGGCGTAACCTGCTTTTTAGTCCTGTTATGATAGTAGCATTAATTAATATTTATGTGATACTTTATAATTTGTAAATCATTTTAATCACAGCATTATATAATTTGCATTTAGGAATTGAATATTATTGTCACCATTCCATAGATAAAACTGAGGCTCAGAGGTTTTAAGCAACTTGTTCAAAGAAACCAGACCAGCAATTCAAGCCTTTTAACCAGAACCTACACTCTCCATGGCAACTGCCTCCTAATAGAAGAAGTGTTTCTCTTATGTGGGTTAAAACATTCCTTCAGGGACAAAATTTTAAAATTCTGGGACCAAAGATGGCAGCTTTTCTAATAGTCCCTTTGCCAACCTCACCCCCAACCTTCACCCACTCACTCACTGTGTGTATACTGTGGGGAAGGATGGAAGCGGGAAGTAAACTCTCCTGAGTCTCTGAGTTGATTGGTACTGGATGGATGATGCCCACATCCCTTCTGTTTGTTTTAGTGAATATTCTTAAAGTTGTCTTTGTATAAAGTACTGTTCTATGTTAGCACAATTCATCTCTCTCTCTGAAGCGCCTCAAGCATAAAGGTGAGTGTGGCATTTAGCTGCACAAATGCTCCAGCTCTCTTGATATCAGGAAATAGAGGTATATCTGTGAGCAGATTTATGTCCATGACTCAAATACTTCTACCCTTTGTCTATCAATCCATAGTACCTTAATTTCTCCAGAGAGAGGGAGAGATTGTTTTTCATCTCTATGTAACACAGACATTTGAATGCAGAACAATAAAAAAAATCAATTCATATTTTCAGATTCCCGTTTTCTCATTTTAATATAAAAATCCCAACGCCTATTACCTGGTTCTCTGATGCTTTAATGGAGACAATATATATATCAAAAGGTGGACAAAATTCTAAGAAATCTGCACTTCTATCTTTTATGGGAAATTAAGAATTTCTCAAGGTCACGTGGTGGCCAAAGTGTAGTACTTGGACAAGAATCCAGAATTTCTGACTCTGTTTGGTGTTTTATTCACCACAAAACACTCCATGCACATGGCTATAGAGTCTTCGAGGGTACTCTAAGTAGAAGGTAGAGTACATGGTCAATGTTATCTGAGACAGTAGTAGTAAGATACGTGGAAGATCAGCTCTATGTACTCTGAGGGTCTCCTCTAGGCATGGCCTAATCCAGACTGATCCAAAGTAGCTGAGTCAGAAAAGTGAGGCTTAACCTTCCATGTCATTTCAGAACGATGAGTGGAGGGAGGAGAGTTTTGGAAAATATTTCAATAAGACAGAAAAGGGGTTACACATTGCTTGCTTGCTTGCTTTTCCCCGTGGGGAAAAAGGAAAAGGGCAGTAAAAGCCCATTCTGCTGAAAAGCAGGTGGAAATTTCTTAAAATTACCTTTCTCACTCAATTTCACACTTGAGCATCTAGGCCCAGCGGGGCCCAGGCAATTCAGAGATGCATGAAAATGAAAAAACTAATGAAGATTAAGAGAAAAATCAGTTTCGGTTCTCATTTCATGCCCACTGACTTGTTCCATCCAGTGAGTGCTCGAGCCTGAACAGGGAGAGGTGGGACGAAGTCGGAGGCTGTGCATCTAATCCCAACTGTGTGGTGCCGGGGAAGCTAGGTAGCCTCTCTGGGCTTCTCTGAGCCTTATTTCCTCAGTTAAATATGAGATAAATGCTAGGAATGATATTTAAAGTGCTGAGTGAATATTTTGTACTGAAAAAAGTATCTGTTCCTGCATATCTTAGTATTGGACTCACGTTTCTTTTTGGTACTGACACAATTTTCTCACTCCAAGACCAAACAGTACAAGGCAGGAAAAGAGCAAAGCTGCCACAGTCACTGGCCAGGACATTCCGTCTTTGGGCTGATTAACCACAATACCTGTGGCATAAAGAGAGACGAACTTTAATGCCAAAGTTTGGCAACTGGAAGGCAGGATGAATTGAATTAGTTTGCTTACCTGAAACACGTTTTCTCCAAAGGCCATGGGGTGTTCATTGATCACAGTCATGCTCTGGGACCATATCTATGTCTTGTTCTCATATCTGTTCTTGCATTTATACAATTGCTTTTTTTCACATGAATGTCTTTCTTGTTAGAATGTTCCAGAACTGATCTTTTCTTTTTTTTTTCATTTCCCCAAGACCCTGGACAATTCCTGGCACATGGTGCCCAGTGAAATGGTATTTGTAAGAATGACTAAATAAAACTGATCATCTGTAAATTTGTTTTCCAAATTCACTTCAGTAAAGAAAACTTTATGTGTAGAAATATTGATCTAGCTTTGGATTTTCTTATTCTTTAAGGAGTCATTAAATGCTTTATGGAATATTCGTGTGTTAGGAGGAGGAGGAAAGAATAAAAAGCATTATAACAATTCAAAGCCTTGAAAGTCCAAAGCCAAAAAGGCCAGAGGCAATATAAATATAATATTCAGGACTGTTTTACTTTTTCTCTAACATGAAGGAAAAATTAAGAAAACAAACTCTCTTAGGAAATAAGACTGTCTGGTTCTGCCTGGCAGAGAATAAAAGGGAATGTTTATAATTATATAGTTGCTTAATTTTTTCCTTTTTAAAAAGTGTTTTATGATCACGTTAAAGATTCAAATAGTACGAAAATACAAAACTACAATGAAAAGGAAGTATCCTTACTTCTTCAGATGCCAGCTACCCACACTAGAGGCAATAACTTTTAATAGTTAATTATGTATCCTATCAGAAATTTTTTACTCATATATAAGCAAATATATGTACCATGAATATATATCCCTTCTTATTACAAATGGGGGCATACTGTACATACTGTTCTGTTCCTGGTTTCTTTCTCTTAAAAAATATTCTTGGAATACTTTTCACAGAAGTGCATAGAGGTTTTCCTCATTCTACAAGATTAAATTACTGGCTAGTTCCCCAACGTATGGATCTACCATAGTTTATTTAATTGGCCTCTTAATGTTAGATGGTTAAATTGTTTCCAGGCTTTTCTTATTTCTAACAACACTCCAGTGAAATTCCTAATACATTATAGGTAGATCATTAGCTCTTCAGATTACATAAATTCTTTGGGCAAAAAGTGCATTTTTGTATCAGAATTATCTGGATTGTTTTTGTTTTTTCATCATTTTCACTAGATTATAAACTGATTGTAGGTGGAGACTAGTTTTTTAATTGTTTTGATTACCTCAGATTTATTACACTGCTTTTCATAAAGCAAAGTTTCAAAAACTACAGGCCAAAAAACTGGATTTCAAATATTAGTTACCAAATCTCTTCTATGTTTTACGTAGTTTGGATGGCAGCCACATGATGTCATGTTAACACTGGGTATCAGTGCTGAAGATTTTTCCTCTTACAACACGTATCCAGGGATTCAAGGTCTTCCTGATGCTCACGCTACTCTAGCCCTGTCAAAGCAGACACTGAGGGTACCCTGGAAGCTCACACAGTCCTAAAATACGTAACCGTGTGGCTCATTGTACGCACAGGTGGCTAGAGAGTTCACAGTAGTTCAAACCACTGGAATATCATGATCACAAAAGAAAGAATCTCACAAGAGGTCAATTTAGGACTACACAAAGCTCTGTTTTAGTAACGTCAAGACTTACTAAGCTCTGCACTGGTAATATGGTGGAATATAACATTTTACCTCTAAAGTTTTAGAGAAATGAAAGAACAAAAGGTTTTAAATAGGTCTTCTAATAGGTCTTCCATCAATGCTTACTAATTTTCTCCCAACCAAATATAGAAAATGAGACCACTGACTTCAGGAATGTCTTGGTGGAGAAGCCGAGCTCCAGTCTTGCCCTGTCTCTCAATTAGGCAGTTCTTTAAGGCACCAATAGTGAAAGATGTTAGTAGGATGTCAGTTTGCAGCTCTGCTGCTACGTGGTGTGCAGGTTGGATGATGCTCCAGTAACTGAGGACTGTATGACCCTCAATATGAAATAAACCGAGTCCCCAGGTGGAACGTTCATCATTTAAGTGAATACCTTATTGATTATGGCTCTGAATTTACAATCAAGATCTGTGTTGGGAGGGTCCTAACTTTATTGAATACCATGACCTCTTATGATATAAAACAAGGGATTACATTTAACATTGACAAAATTTTATTAGTTGAATTATAGGAATACTCTTTTTTTTTTTTTTTTTTTTTGCGGTATGTGGGCCTCTCACCGTTGTGGCCTCTCCCGTTGCGGAGCACAGGCTCCGGAGGCGCAGGCCCAGCCGCCGTGGTGCACGGGCCCAGCCACTCCGCGGCATGCAGGATCCTCCCGGACCAGGTTACGAACCCATGTCCCCTGCATCGGCAGGCGGACCCCCAACCACTGCGCCACCAGGGAAGCCCTACAGGAATACTCTTTGTTCCAAAAATCAGACTATACTTTCACAGAACCGAAATGTTTCTCACTACTTTTTACCTGGCTCATTCTCATTCATTTTTCAGATTTTAATTTTAAATATATCCTTGGAGAATCCTTTCTTGTTCCCCAATTAAAATCAGAGCTTTCTGTTAGACGCTGGCAACACCTTGTACTATACCATAAGATGTGTCACAAATAAATTGAATTGCACGATTATTTATTTACTAAATATCCTCTATAATAGATTATAATCTTCAGGAGGCAAGTGTTTTCAACGTATACCCAACAACTGGCAAAGTACCTGACAAATGGCAGGTACTCAGTAAACACTTGTTGAGTGAATAAAACATAAACGTTTAAAAAATGGTAAATGGCTCACCAGTGATATGGATATGATTATTTTTAGTAGATCCATTGGCAGTTGTGGGAACTTCTGAAAATGCTCTGGCTGTGCTGGTGAAGGTGTCACCTAGGGATATAAAGAGGATATCTGATCTGATCCTAGTGACAATCTCCACCTGGTCAAGAAGTGTAAAATTGTGATTGGACTTCACTTGCTATTCGCAAGGGCTCAATTTGAATGGCCTAAATGCTCCTAAAATATTACCTGTAAAATTTACTAAGGACCAATTTATGCAGGACTGGTATCCTAGGATCTAACAGTTACCAAAGAGTGAAACTTCCTATTGGTTTAAAGAAAAAAAAGAGAAACAAGACAGCCCATAAAGCAAAATAATATCTGCTAAAGAATCTCCATGAGAAGTGGTTATGGGAAAATGTCTGAAGTTGGTGTCATGGAAAGATGAGGCTTACCCATAGTAGCCCAGGTTATCAGAGGTCCAATGGGTCAAAAGACTGATTCTTCCCACTCTAATATGTTTGATAAGATCAATAAAAATTCCTCTGCAACATCTGAGTAGACAAATCCATGTCAACAAATCATTCCATTTTCCAATGGAAAATTAAAACTTAAAATGCACTTTAATGGATTTGGCCCCCAAATGCTATTATGTAGATTTCATTTTGAAATAAAATAGAGACAAATCTAAGACTTGTTCTCTGACTACCTTTTTTGAGTGACTGGGAAGAATTTTGGTTCCATCCATTGTCATTTTTATCATCACTGTCGTTTTCATCAAGATGCACTTTTAAATACCTGAGATTGGCTTCGTTCTCATTTTTCCACCTCTGATCAAATAAAGCAGACCACAGCCTTCCCTGACACTAAATTTTCCCTAAGTGCTCACCATGAAGTGTCGAACCTGCCCTTGAGGGGGATGAACTCTACGTCTCACTGGGCATCCATGAAGCTGCTAAAGGAAGAAGATAATGGAAAAGTTAATCTGTATAAGACTAATTATTTTATTGTCTCTTCTTGACCTTTAATTGAACCTAAAAATTCAGCACACATTAGAATGTCCCAAAATAAAGTGGGAGTTGAGGGAATGCTTGTGGTCCAGATGTTTCTAATAGGGAAGGTTTTGTTCACAGCCATTTAAAGCAGGAAGAAGAAATGGAAGAAAACACTAGGAGAGGTTTTTCCAGCCCCAGAGAGTGTGTTGTGACTGTTCTCATGTC